GGAATTCTGGGAGTTGAAGTCCACACATCTTAGAGTTGCTAAGGTTGAGAAACACTGGGCTAGAACCTAAGTCTCCCCACTCCTAGTCCAGCACCTTAACCACTATATCACTCTGGGTCTCACTTCTCATGTAATACAGTTTAATGAAAATACTTTTTACAAAGAGGAGAAATTGGGAGAAATTCTTATGCTCTTGTACTTCTTCAGTTATAAGATGACCCAAGGACAAATGTAATTGTTTTCTCTTTCACTGGACAATCAGCTTTCTAATGATCTGCAGCTTCAAATATTTCCATTAAATCCCAAGAGATTTAGGAGGGAACTCCTTCCTTGAGGCTTTTTCAGACTGGATGTGTGAGCAGAGCTGAAGAATACACTGGAGGACACAGCTTTAAGAAGTATAGTGCTGTCTCTGCACATTTTCCTTTCTTCCATCTTTCCAGGAATATTACATAGTCACAGTCAATAACAAAGCCCACAGGGCGTCTTCCTATGATGCCCCAGGGTGGCAGCCATAAAATTTCAAAATTAATTTTTAAAAATGGCTGACTTGCAAAGTCTTGGTGCTTTCACATGAAATCTTGCAAGACTTTAGGCTGGAAAGCCAACTTCTTATGAGATTTCAAGTGAGAATGCAGGAAATGTTAGCCTTCTCATGTGAGATCACATATAGTCTCAGGAATAAAATTGACAAAGCCTTTCAAGATTTGGTGGCCTCGTAAGGTTTGAATATTTATTGATTGGCTTAATGACTGGGGCCTGGAATTTCAGAAGATCATTGGACTCTCCGATATAGCAGGCTTTATATTAATCATTCACCATCTCCTTTTACCAGCTGTCAGACATGACAGCTGATATTCCTTGGCTCATTAGCATTTGTCCATATGTGCTTGAATTAGTAGTTTGCGTCATTTATTAGGTCATTCAGATGTTAAGCCATTATTTCAATACAAGGGACTATTATGGGTTGATCTGAAGAGAACGACTTTTATTTTAAGTGTTTCAAAAATATCATAACTTGAAATCATACAAAATAGAATAGTAATGATCATCCTACAAAGAGCCTTCCAGATTTATGTTACCACAGCTTCATTAAGAAAAAGACATCTGAAACCTTTAGTCTGTATGACAGTCATCATCTGAAATAATGGGTGCTTTATTATTAGAATTATTAGAATAGTTCTGCAGGCACTCACTTCTTTGGGTCATCATGAAAATGCTAGTCTGGGAAATTAGAAGAACAGAACTTCTCACAGCTAGCATAAATATTTTGTAACTTGTTTCCTTTCAGCAGACATGGGTAACTTTTGAGGGATGGGGAGCTTCAACCCACTATTTATTCACTATTCAACTCCCATTATTTGGGGAGCATTGGAAACCTATCAGGTGAAATGGGGGCATCACTGAAATGGAGAGGGCTTAACATTTTGCTCCACTTTAGGGTTTTCTGCAGTTCATTGGTTAGAAGGAAAACTCCCTTCCCCATTCTTAAAGCCATCCAATCTCCCAAAAGCAATTAAATCCATCCCCACTGAACAAGCAATTTCAAGTGGTTTTGAGGGTTAGAATAGCAACTAGAAATCTCTGGGGGCAAACCACTTCCATTTACACCTTTAATTTTTTTTGGCGGGGGAACCCCTTAAAAAGCCCAGTGCAAAAATATGGTCAGTGACACTGAGTTTTCATAGCACTATCTCAGGGTGCTGGGGGATGCTTGTGTCCGGTGGGCCAATTCCCATGAAATCTATTTTCCATGATGGATTTCAAAGAAAGTAGAAGAGGATGAGGTCATGACCTACAAAAACAGTTATTGAGGCATTTTCCTGTCATAATTAGGGGGATATGAGGATAAGCCCCATGTGTCACATTATTGCTACTTAATATTTTATGGTGTCAATTCCCTAAAATTTCAGTTTTTCAGTCCTCCTACCAACGATAAATTCATTGCAATTACAGTAGCAAACTTGGGCACTCTCTAGATTAGTTAGCTACAAATGCTGGGTGTCTCCTTTGCATATTAGTCCACTAATTGGGATTAAGCACTGTGATCATACGAAATGTGTATCTTGCCAATATCTCTGGCTTCTGATCCTTTCTCAAACCAAATCCAGTGTTACAGACCCAGTGTTAGAACACCTTATATTTCAGGGATTCTCCAAGCTTTTGCCATTCTGGCCACCCAACCCTATTCTTAGACTGTCTCCCATCTTTCGGTAGAAATGTGTGAGTCTTGGCAGTTTATCTAGGAAGAGGCAAGAAGCTGAGATGGCCAACATTCAACCTCCAGAGCTTGCTGAATCTTGACAGTAAAATTGCCAAAGCTCAGTGATGCCTTTTCCCACCGTGTTGAAATAAAAAGAACACTGAAATAAAGAAAAGCACCGATCACCACCACCCTACCAACAAGTATGGTGCATCCCTTCCCACGTTGCCTTATCACCCTCTCTCCAAATAATAACTTGGCCACCAAAACCTTGTCCACCACCGATGTACAAAATAGCACCAGTATTTAAAACTGTAACCTGGCTGGCCCATTTGAAGTCTGCAAATCTGAAGTCCCATGAAGGTTCCAGACAAGGAAACATACCGACTACCTTACACATGCCATTAATGCAGACGTCTCTGTCGTTTCCTTCAAAGCAAGGCGTGCCATCAATTACAGCATCTAGCATCTTCTCTGAAAAGTGGTGGTCCGTAGGGCGGCATTGCAGCTCACAGGGATTAGCTGGAAGAAATCCCAAACATTGTATCAATAAAACAGATTTTAAAGCCACATTATAAGACTCTAATATTAGCATCTTCCATTCTATACTAAAGATTAAAAACTGTTTATAAAAATAAGTATTTCAGTGGCTCAACCAGCTAAGGTCAGTTGGATCCATACTCTAATCTTTCTGCAGTTCATTACAGAGGCTCTATAATTGGTATAGGAAGATTGCCATGAGTCATTGTACATAATGAAAGTGCCATGCTGGTTCCTAAAACTGCCATAATAGCTGCTGGTATTTACACATTTTTGTAAATACCTTCCAAACCTATTTATTCTCAACAGTGTTTGTGGGCCAAAACACTACTGTCAGGAAGCAGACTGAGAATTTTAAATTTTGCTGCTTAAATGGCCATACTTTGAAAAAAACAATAATTGACAAGCAGAGATCATAAACTGTTTTTCTTTTTGTTATTGGACTGGAAATGTTAATTTACCTCAGCCTCAACATTAGCTTTTAGGCCTTTTTGTACTTTGTTGCAAGCATATAATTTTCTTTCTTCCTTCATGTTCATTACGTTGCCTCCTACCCACATTTCTTCTCACTGCATCCTAAGTCAATACAATTTCTTTTTTCTTTTCTTTTCTTTGAAGTCAGTAACCCAAAACACAGGAACGTACAGAGCATCTCCAAATACTGGAATTGCTCTCAGAATTACGTTTCTAAGCCTTAAAGTCATTGCCCTGAATGAAACCATCTGACCATTTCAAAGCATTGAACCAATTTTGAATGGGTTCCCTTCTGCGTATGGTGTCCAGGGAAATGACCATCTTATCCCTATTGTAAAAATAGATTACCTTACTTGGAATCCACCATTCAAACACTGAATGGCTAAATTCTAGTTGCTTATTGTTATTATTAATATTAATATTTCCACCCAGGCTAATGATTTTTCTCTGAATGAAGTAAGAAACTTCAGATATCAAAAAAGATTCAGATATCAAAAAAGAACTTACTTGTGAAAGTTCTGCAATGTAAAGTGCAGAATGCATCTGTTCTGGATTCTAGCTCTCCTGCTCCATTCCATTCCCTCTACCCCAACCTTGGTTTTGCAACCTCCCTTTTCAAAAAATCCACTCAACTAGATTCTATAGCTGTAGTTACTATGCATGCTTAGCTACTGTAGCTATGTAGCATGCTCAGTGGCTAATCCTTGGTGCACTAGAGAGGGGTTTGGGGGAGTGGAGGGGTTATTATTTATTCTGCAAACCTTAGGACTTCTCCAACTCTGTTGATACCTCTTTCTCATAAGACAGTGATTGGTTAATAGCTTTGCCCTCCCTCAAACTATTGATTTTTAAGAGAATTTTTCAATTCCTCTATTTCTGGAAGATCCTAAAACACCTGCTGGATTATGGGATATTTCCTAGGATGCCAAGTTCAAGATGGTTTCCATGTGAATTGAAGCGTTGAAAAATCGGAATGCATTTCCCCTGCAATTTGCACCCAATACAGAAAATCAGTAACGGAAAACAAATCTGCCCCTTCCTTTCTTTAGTACAGCCATTTAAGAACCTCTCAGCCTATGCAAAGCCTGAGGTTTGCCAAACCACAGTCTGAAAATCTCTGAAGCGGTGAGGCAAAATCACCTTGCGACAGAACTCGTTTCACTAAAATTACCATCTGAAGTCATAGAATGCAGACAGCATGGCTATGCTCACACATCCTAGGCAAAATCACTTAAAGCTCAAGTAAAGATGTAGCACCTATTCACAAAACACACTAATGTCCCTAATGTTACACCCACACCCACATACACACCGAGAGACTTAAAAAACACCTGACTCCCAACGTCTCTGGGCACTTTAGACTATAAAAAGCTAGAACAATG